TGCACATGCCTTTCAGAACTCAGTAGGTCCAGACTCACCTGGAGAACTATCTTTCCCCCAGTTGGGCCCTTTGGGGTCCTTGATCCAGGGTGCAGCTCTACGTTCCAGCTTGGAAATCAAGTCTGGCTTAGCAGCAGTGGGCCCTATAACAAGGAGGGAGCGTCACAGTGTAGTAACTACCATGGCCTGCCAAGTCAAGGAGCCAGCCTCACACTCTACATGGACCTATACCACTCAGGGATGGGCCCAGGCTCTACCTCTATAAGATCCATTCACTCAGGGCAGGGTAGAAGATACTCATCTAGGTGCCAATTTGTTCTTCAAACCCAAAGAGGTTTGAAGAAGAGACTGGAGCACATCCCCTAACTCCACGTGCCAGCCATGGGAATCCTGAACCAGCTAAACACATCTTGAGGGGAAGGGGGAGATGGAAGAAACACAGATAACAAAACAGAAGAGGAAACAAGAGGGATCATGAAGAAAGTCACACAAGAAGTGCAAGAGACAGACCCTCTTCAACAAAGAAAAGGGAAACCAATTAACACAGACACAGAAGATAACTTGGGACCTCTGAGCCTTAAAGGGAAGGATATGGAAGTGAACTAAACCCCAACTAGCAGAAGAATTTGCGTGAAAATACCAAAAAAGGAGACAAACGGAGCTGTGGTCTGGCAGCAATCCTGACGGCACAGCTTGGAGATTCCCGAGTGGTGGTAGGACCTAAGAATTAACCTAAAATCACCCTGCTAGCCAGTAACTGCATGGAGGACTGTGCATGGTGGCTGGAGAACAAGCGGAGAAGGTGAAGAGAAAGGTGGGCTGAGCTGTGGACTTTTGCTGGTTCGGAGGGTGCCGCCATTTTGAAGGTTTAAAAAGAGGCTTGACTATTTTGGATATTTAAAGAGACAGTGCTCTCGCAGATTCCTGGGGCTTAAGAACACATTATGCTCTCCAGCAACCCCAAGGACACTTGGGACCTGCAAGACTGACAAGTTTTTTGAAGGTTATTCAATTGCAATTTGTGTCTGATTGAGTGGGAGACAACAGTCCCCATAAGACACAACTACACCCACACCTCCTGCAACTTCACTACTGAGCGACAGCCACTACCTCCTTCTCCACCAACAGGCCG